AAAATGAAGCCGGAATGGTCGAGAAAATGCCTGCTTGATCAAGATTGGGATTACGAGGTTCGTTTTCGCTCGGTCCCTCGGCCTTCTCCGTACTGTTTTGTAAGAAATCTCCCATTTCGCTGTAGTAAAATGCTTCAAAACCCAGCAGTAGTAATTTTACGTATGTTTAGCATGCCGAATAACTAATATATTATGCATCAGTTGGGGGTATCTTCAGTTCGTGCATGAGAAGAAACATTTTTCTGTGCCAACTCATGTCAGGTCTTGTTGATGTTGCTGTTGGTCCTAAGTTTCCCGTAAAAAACTAGTACATCTTATTGTGTGCCCTTCGACCACAGTGCCATCCTTATGCTATGACTTGGTCAAATTTACTGTTCAAGGGCCATTTCCCCTGAAAATGCATTGCTTTTTCTTCCCCCCTGCCTTTCAGAAGATATTACTTTTCTTCGGCCAAATATTCCGCCTTTTTCGGTAATTTGTATCCGCATTTTCTCCTCCGCTACCCTCAGTATTACGATTTATTTCTGTTCCGTGGATTCCTTCGTTTTACGCAGCTTTTCCGCTTTTTTGTAGACGAAAATATGAGAAAGTAGGATTTCTCAGCTAAGATAGCAGTTTTGCAATATTTGTCATTTAATTACTACGGCTGTCGAAGGGTTCAGTTGTAGTGGAAAAAAGCGGGAAAGAGGGAAGATGTTGATGTAAGATTGGTATCACCGGGGCGGTGACGGACCTTAGTCTTTGGTTTGCTAAGCGAATCGTTTAAAATGATACGAATTTCAAGCGTGCTCTCATTACTGTGGTGCAACCACATGTTTTTAGTTTCTAGACGACTTAAAGATGAATTTAAGTACTTTTATTTTTTATTTTGATTGTATCTGTGGCTTTTTGCAGGCTGCGGGCCGAGTATTTTTGGCTGTACGAGACAAGATCCCTGCGGAAGCGTTTCAATAATCGCATTTCAGTATTTGCTGAATCGTTATTTCATTTGTATTTCCAGTCATTCTCAGCCAGAAGTGTCACTCGCAGCTAGTAAATTACAACTTTTTTTTGCTTTAAAATATTTTGCATCTGCAGTTTAGATAATGTATAATTCTGGTAAAAACTGCTGGAGGAGGAGAAGTTATTTAGGAACCTTTCTGATGCTATGGCGTCTTTCCCCAATATTGTCTCATTACGCCTTACCCTTTTGAAACTGCTAGTTTCTTGTGGTGCAACTAACGAACGGTCTTTAGGTTTTGGGCGCTTATCTTCCCTTCCTGAGTGGACTGTCGCTGTCTTCACTGGTAGCTTATAGTCAGAATTTAAAAATCCTGCGATCAATATGCTTCGAAATTGAAGGTTTCTGGGTATCAGTTTTGATAGGATTGTCGGGTATGCACTTAACATCTCGCAATTACAAGCGCACCCGCTGCTTTATTAGTGAAAAATGCTGTTTTCATTCTCGTAAGAATTTGTGAGAAACGATGATTCTAGTGAATTTAATGTTTATGATAATGTTTTTGCATTTTTTAAGTTGCGTAAGGCCAGAGTTTTGCTTTTTTTTGCAATATTTTTCATTTAACAATACTCTTTTTTTGTATCTTTTGACGTTGCAAAGGTAAAGCGACACACGCTAGTCCGTCTAGCACCTTTTAGTTTCGCTTATCCAAGTGTGCGTCCAAAGTAAATCCGTGCCAGGAGTATTTTTTGCGACGGAATAACTCGGGGGATGGCTCTGAGAGCAGCTTTTGGTGGCCTTTAACAGCCCCACCAAGTAAATGTCCCGCAAAATTGATGGTGAATATCGCGGGACTCAAATTATTTTCAAAGAGAAAAGGAGTCATTGGGCGGATATGCCAGCTCCTTAAATACTACATGTCTGTCTGCCAAGTGGAAGCTGAAGCTGCCCCTTGGTTTTCCTTATATTTTTTTGTCACCACTGCTGCTTTTTGGGTCTGTCTCAGCAGAGTTCTCACGTACGGAAAATAATCTTGTCTGGTTCACTTTGGGCGCACCAAGAGTGCTACAAAATTTTTTGTCTATCTCAAATTTCACTGCGCTCTTTTACCCTTGGAATGTCACATTCCTAATACGTTTTTTAATGGTTTTTTTTTTTTAAAGTGAAGAAATGCATATTGATGAGCATTCAGCTCTATGTTTATATGTCCTTCTGTTTCGGAGACCATGCAAGCGGGCGAGCTGGCGTTTTGGCGATGCAGCTCATGGCCGTACTGGGTGGGCATCATCATGGGTTTCTTCTTCCCAAAGCGCTTAATACCAAAAATCCTTATATTTTTCATTTTTATACCCAGTTTGCCCATCTTTGGCGTTGCTCCTACTGCTGCTGCATGGCCTTTGCTGCATCATCGCCAGCTGGCTGGTCAGCTTGATCGTGCTAGTTTGGTG